AGCCTCTCAGGCAGGCATGCAGGCAGAAACGAAACCTATTCCGGCGCGACTTTGCAGCCACGAACGAGCTGTGGAAGAGGTCTGAGTGTCACTGCTTCGCCGTGCTGCAGAGCTTTGTGCTCAAGAGCCAAAATCTCAAGGCTTCGGGGGGGCTGGGCGCCATGGCGCACAAGTCCAACCCGTACAAGAAGGCGACCCGGTAGAAGCAGAAATGCTTTGTAGCCGCAAGCGCCTGCAGATCCGATCCAGACATGATGCTGAGGCTCGCTCGAAGTTTCGCTGGAAGTGGAAGAAGAAGCGCACGCGCCGCTTGCAAAAGAAGCGCCGAAAGATGCGCCAGCGCTCGAAGTGAAGAGGCCCGGTTTCTGGTCATGCAGAATTGACTTCGGTTGGACAGTTGTGCCGTTGATTGGATGCTTGACGATGTTGGCATGTCAATGTGCTGCATGTGGGCCTTGTCGTTCTACTGCAAGAGGACCAGAAGAGTCATCCATCGACTTGAAGGAAGGCGCATGCTCAGCCGGCGACGTTTCTTGGTTTTCCGCTCTTTCTGGCGCATCTCCTCGGAGGTGGTCGTCGTTTCATTGTGTGCGATGCTGGGAGAAACAAAGAGTCAGAGCCGTGAGTGGGAAGGTCTGTTGCAGCCGGAAGGAAAACAGAGTCGCCCGCATCTTTCGCTGTGATAGGCTAGCGTTGCGAGGGTAAAGTCTTCTGGTCTGTTTCTGCACGGTGTATCAATTATTCTTTTGGGTTGCTCTGCCTGTGCTTGTTTCCTCCTCGGCCTGGCCCCTGCGGTGATCTGAAGGAGTGCGACCTGGACCTCACGATCTTGCGGTACTGAGTTCACACTTGCTTTTCGTCGAGTTTTTAGCCAGTTGGCAAAGGTAGCTTGTACTGGCTCTTCGCAGTGCGTGACAGCAAGACTCGACAAGTTTGACATGGCATTCTGCGATCACTTTGCTAGTTGAAGACTGCACAGCATTCAGCTTCAGTTTCACAGTAGCTTTTGCAAGAGTTTTCGGCTTGCTGCTAAATGAGCTGGAAGCCCAGGCACAGCAAGGCATTGAAATATCGAAAGGCACCCGGCTTCAGCTGGACAGCTTGCAGAGTCCTGCGTGGAAACCGCAGCCAAGAAGCTCAGCAAGAGCACCACGTGTCAGCAAACCCCCAGGCACTGCGTGCACTCGTAGCAGCGTCGGCCGGATGAGGCTTTGGCCAAACCGCAAAGCTATGTGCAGCTGACGATAAGTCGATTAGTCCTTTACCCCGTTGCATTCCCGGTGATGTGGTGCAAGTGCTGCGAGCCCGAGCCGCAGGACGAATTTTCCTGACATGCTTTTGTCTTGGAGGGTGCTGACCTTTCGGTCAGGAGAACCTCGTTGACGTGCTTCCACGCGAGATCCTGCAGACGCCAACTCCGCAGAAGCAGGTCTGTCTGAAGCTAGGTGCAATCACTGCTCCTGAACTCACACTTCATCCCGAAGGACGAGCAAGATGCGCTTGCGGCAGTAATTCAGGGGCAATCGGCAGTGCCGACCTTGGAGGTCAAGGAGGAAGTGGCAGCGTCCACAGTGGCGCCTGTGAGCACTCCGAAGGCAGAGCAACAGCGACAACAGAACTAGGAAGATGTATCACGAGTCGGCAGCATCTTGCTTCTCAAGAGACTGTTTGGATGTTGGACGGAATGAGTCTTCTTGCAAGTGCTGCGTGTAGCTCTTGGAGCGTTGTCAGCCTCCGTTCCGAAAGGAAGACAGCCCCAGCAACCTCTTCACCGTCACACTAGACAGTCAAGGCCTGGGCAGTCGGTGGTTGGCTTGTTCGGTCCGTGGATCCTCTGATGCTCCGCTTTGAGGGAGTCTTCCGAGTGTCTCCGGCTAAACCAGGCGATCTTGGCATCGTGCTCGATGACCTGGGTTCACGAGGCAAACCGGAGTGCGGCAAATGTGGATGGGACTTGTGCAGGCTTTGTGAACTAAGGCAAGCATTCCCTTTCTGAGGGTCCTGATGACAATGCCCATTGCTTTCAGTTTGTCTGTGCTCAGTGCTCCCACTTAAGAGATCTCTGTGGCAAGCATCGCTGTACTAGTTCAGGCCTGGTTATAGCTGCGATGAATGCGGGAAGCGCAAGAGACCACGGACAACTCCAGCAGTACGTCTCCTGCAAGCAAAACTTCAGAGTTGTAAGCGTGAGCAATGCTCGCTGTTTTGGAACAGCCGAGGATTGCATCGTGTCAGTCAATGGAGTGAACGGTGATGTAACTTGTCAGGATCGTCCAGAGCAGCTGTGGACCTCGAGTCTTGCCCATGGAGCATGTAGGTCTAGCTAGCAGCAGCGCCTACCCAGGTAAACCGGATGTGGGACCTCCTGGAGTCGCCTGGCAAGTGCACGCTGACGGTGCTGCGGCCAAACGACCCCTGGCGAGCTGCGGATGCTGCGTTCAGCTCCAGGGCGGTGTTTCATGAAGCCCAGCATCTGAGGAGATGGCGTTCAAGCTCAAGAAGTCGGACGACGAGCCTTTGGGAATCCACATGAACTTCAAAAGCTACTCTGCCGGGTCTCTTGGGCAGCAAGTTATGTCAACTAATACTCCCCAAGCCGCCGAGCGAAAAGGCTTGAGTGAGACTGGAGTTGCATGTCGGAATCTCAGGATAGTGCTGGAGGAGATCAAGAAAGGCGGATGCTCTTCTGCAGTATCTTCCCTTTCATGGTTTACAGAAGCAGCAGCCAACCTGCTGAGTGGGTTGTCTTGATCGCGTGATGGCAGCATTTGGCAGCCTTCAAATCTGAGGACAGTTCGACAGGTTCCTGGATTCCCTGCCTGAGGAGTGAACAGGGTACTGTGGGGTGCTGCGCGTCAGATCTCTCTGCGAGCCCTGATACTGCAGAGTCCGATCTTGTCCAATTCCAGGCCTCGCGAGCCCTTCCTGGTGATCGGTTCGTGGCCATCAACGGCACTCACCTCAAAGGCAAGCCCTGCGTGGAGGGCGGTAAGTCGACGGGGAAGACGGTCACGAGCCACCACAAACCAAAAACTGCAATAGTCGTGTGGAGCTGGCGCAGTCATCGCAGTCCTCCCAAGCTTAGTCTTATGGTACACGGTATTGGCCTTGAGCATCGGTGTTTTTTGTGACGTAGTGCCTGGTCGCGTTGACAGCGGGTGCGAATGAATGCGTCGCCAAACAGATGGCGATTGAAGATGACTATGGTGCTACGGTACTCTCGCACACGTTCCACATGTCGCGAGGGCCTGTGTCGCCGTTGTTGTCCGGCAAATGCAGCAAGCACTTCTCACGAGCGTAGCCTTGCAGAAAATGCCACTTTCGCTTCAATGTGTGAAGAAGGTTGTCTTTTCTCCCGGGCTCTCGCAATGCGCGCAAAACACAGGCTTTGTGCATGCAGTCTGCTGCAAGGTGCCGAGCTGGTCGAAGCTTTGAAGCGGGACCGATCCTCAAATTGTTTTGGATGTTTGGGTTGTTGGTGGCGTGGTCCCTTTGGCACCTGCACCCAAGCAGCACGCATGAAGTCAGATGCGAGATCGAGAGCCCGCCCTGCAGGAAGCGAACTTGGATATCATAGGCCTACGTTATTGATATCTTTTCGCACCGAGCATATCGGAGATATCGGAGCTGGTGGGCGCTGAACCATGGCAATTTGGCAGCGTGTCTTGTGTGGTGTGAAGGGCTTCCCTGTATTTAAGGCAAGCTGTGTATGCACTAGCGGCAACCGCAAGTTGCATGCATTGGCTTGATGTACATATAGACGCGGTAAAGGTGGTCGAGCGTCCTGCGGGCAAGTCTTGATGCCCGTCACATCATGTTTTGGACTTACACATGCAGCGGCGACTAAGTCGTCAAGCGGGGCTTTGCCAGATCTAGGTGCCTGCGGCACTTGGATTCAATGGCGTATTGGGGTTCTGCAATAGACTTTTCTCAGCAGCGTCTCATCTGGGACCTAAGCAGTCTGCCTCCAAACTGATTTGAGACCTTCGAACAGCCAGATCAGACTTGAAATGGCAGGCAAGGCTGCTATCTAAGTGCCGCCAAAGGCGAACGGGAGAGCGTGGAAATGCGAGCAAATACCGTCAAGCCTCAGAGCTAATCAGGCTTCTGATCAGCAGGAGTATCATCAAACATTCCTCGTGCTCGCATGGGCTCAGAATCAGAGCAGCCCATGAACTGAACTTGAGCCTTGGGCCTTGGCCGACTTCGTTTTCCAGAAATGTTTTGCGCATGCTGCGAGTCCCAGACGCAGGACTTTGGCCCACGTTGTGCTGATATCCTGTGTCGGGGAGTGCGTTTACCGGTCAGGAAAACCTCGTCGAGGTGGTCTCCCACGAGATCTTGCAGACACCAGCTCCGCAGAAGAAGGCCAGCTTAAATCATGACATCGGTGGTCAAGTTCCTTGAAGTCAGAGCTCTCCTCCTTGTCGTAAGGACGAGCAGGCTGCACCAGTGCTCAAAGAGAAGGCAGGGTGACAGAGTGCAAACATTCGCAGTTCCTCCGCCTTTCTTCGGAGTTCTCAAGGCCGAAGCTCCCAGCAATATCTTCACGGTGACAATCGAGAGTCGAGGTCCGTCAACTAAGCCGCAGCTTATGCTGTGGATGCCGTGTAAGGGCGACAACCCAACAATGCTTTCAAATACAAAGTATCGAATGGATGAAGGATGAGGGTAGCGGACTCGTGACGGACTTTTGCGCACAGCTAAGGTCAGCACGTGTAGGTTACTAGGGCCGAATCCGCTGGTACGGATCAAGTGCACTGCCCCGAGCGCGATGCCAGGCGACTTTGGTGTCGTGCTCGACGACGTGGGTTCGCGAGGTGTGTCGACATGCAGAGCAGACGTAGTGGATGCACGACCAACAAGTTGTTGCCCGGTAGTCGGCGCACCCACGAGACTTCAGAGCGTGTCAGTAGCAAAGCTGTCCGAAGCTGCTGCTGTGCTGGTTCAGGCCCGGTGATTGCTGCTGTCAACAAGGGCGCCGCACAAGACAATGGCACACTCCGAAAGTATGCTTCCTGTCAGCGAAGTCTAGCATCACTAGTTGCGGGATAAATCTTCTGGATGTCTGAGGACTGCATCCTTTCAGTCAACGGTGTGGAAAGTGATGTGCCTTGGATAAAGGCCGAGGCGCATGGGGTTCTCTATTGCATTATGGCCCAGGTAAACCAGATGTGGGACCTCCTGGAGTCGCCTGGCAAGTGCACGCTGACGGTGCTGCGGCCAACCGACCCCTGGCGAGCTGCGGATGCTGCGGTCAGCTCCAGGGCGGTGTTTCATGAA